TCCAGATGCTTCATGCCCTCACTGAAGGAGTTCACTACTTTCTTGCCATGGGCTGCCACCTTGGGATTTTTTATGATAGCATCAGCAGAGGACAGGTCCCCAAAGGAGTCAAAGAACCTCTGAGTCCATGGGTATACAATCAGCAGACTGATGGGTAAAAGAAACACAGGGGCCAGAAAGAGTCAGTACCTGTGAGAAGCCTGGAAAACTGCTCTGTCTCCATATGCCAGTCCCACTCAAGCCTCCTTAAATCTGCCTTCATTAAAATACTCACCAGCCCAGAGCCTGACCACCGAGTTTATCTACGTCCACCTTGGACCAAATGCCATTGACAAGAGCCTTCTCGGCGTCGCTAAGATGCACCATCTTGACTGTTTGAGTTTGCTAGTGAGCACACTTGTGTCAGAAGCAAGTGTAAGCCTCTGCTGGCCCTGCTCTCCTTTTATGCCCAGCCCTGGGTCCTGCCCATGGTGGTTCTGCAAGCAGATTGGCCCAGGCCAGAGTGACTCTGCAGAAAGAGCCCAGAATGATCACAGCTATGACTGCCATTGGCAGGCTGGCACTGTCATTTGAGTTTGATTTCAGGCACTCACTCTCCTACTTATCTCTAAGCTTATTCCTCAAAGCAATTACTACTAAAAACATCCTTTCCTCTCCTTTCATGCTGGTTCACATACAAAGTTCATAAAGTCATATACATTGTTTTTCACTCTGGTTCTTTCCTCTTTCCCTTCCCCTTTCCTTCTTTGAGTAAGTATGAATTTTATATTTAAAAAAATAATAAGCTGCTAGGCTTTTCTGAGTTTCCTTTGTTATTCACTTAGTAAATAAGTGATAAAATTGAGATCTTGATTGTGGGACACACTTTCCCTCTTGTATGCACATTAACAATATTTGGACAAAGTTAATGCTCTGTTTGGGGACTAGACCAAATTATTTCAAGGGCAAAATGAACAAGTAATCTGTCACTCTTCCAAGTAATTTTTCCTTTCTCTTGTCTTGCATTAAAGTCACCTGATTTAAAAAATCTCAAATATCCATTGATTTATATGTTTATATCCTTTACGTTGGCTATTCAACAAAAAGGATGATTATTGAAACTTGAGTAAATATAAAAGAACTATGTCCTTTGTGATACACTGTGTTAAATATTGATGATCTGGAGATGGAAACAGAATTTTTATTTGAATTAATTTACAAACAAGAATAGTGAGTGAAATACAACCACATACGAGCAAAACAAGTTTCAACATAATCATTTCAGAGGAAAGTAAACAATGAACCTAGGGTTCCTATTTAGGTAAGTATTTGAAGAACCAGAGATGTTTTTATTAGGGAAAAGAAGCAAATGTCGTTCTATCTTTGCTCAGATATCTATTCCCTGTGGTTATAGGAATTTTGTTTAAAGCACCAGTACTTAATTGAAGCTCACTCCCCACAATTCCACATGCTTCTATTTTACCTGTGTATTTGAAGGAGTTGGTGGGGTTTTAAAACATTTTATTGTTTGTGTATATGTGTGTGCAAATCAGTCTTCTATTAAAAAGTGCTGGTTTTGAACTAATAATTTTGCAATATCTTTCTTATATTTCTTTTTTATTCATTAAGTTCATTACCATCACTGGGTAGAAAGTGAGAATATTGTTCCACTCCTCACCACTAAAAGATTCAACCCCTTTCAAAAAGCAAAAGCAGCACCATTGCTTAGTTCAGCATCCTATAGTTCTGTCCCTCATATTCCATCATCTCTTTCTCCTGTATCTTCCTTCTTACACCAATTTCTATCTAACTACTTTCAGTAAGGAAAATGTTTTACTCCTTTGGGTGATTATGTTTTACTTCCCCCAGAATAACTTAGGTTTAGGTATGCTATACTGATTCATATATATACACATATATATATATGTATATATATATACATATATAGTTATCTTTCTCTCTTCTTTAACCTCATGAACAACAAATATTAAACAATCTCTTCCATCTTCTCAGCTCTAATACTCTGAAATTCTGAATACAAAAATATTATTCAGCCTAAGAAGTAGGAAAAGACTTCCTTCTTTGCAGCCTCTAAAAAAACTCAGAAATACTTTCCTTATCATTGACTATACAAAAATATAGATTTCTTACTCTTTTTACATCTTAGTATTTATTCACCAAACTCACTCTGGGTATGAATACATATTTTTGTAAAGATTTGATTGCCATCTGGATAACCAAACGTTCTCTTTCTTTGCCCTATCCCTTTTCTGTCAAGTTGGTTCTAATAGCTGACCTTGCAATGGTTTCCAAGGTTGTAAATTACACAAGGTGAGAAATTTTGGGTTTTTTATTTTAAAATGCAATCCATCTTGAAGGCTGTAGTCTTTGATCTTCTGCAGCAAGTAATTCAAGTCCTTTTCACTTTTAGAAAGCAAAGTTTTTTCATTTGCATAATGAAAGTTACTGATGAGTTTTCCTCCAATCCTGATGCCACATTTTTCTTCAGAGTCCAGTTTCTCAAGTAAACTGTTCACTTTACAGATTAAATAGGTGTAAAGAAAGAATACAACCCTGAAGCACACCTGTCTGTTTTTAAAAATATACAGTGTCCCCTTGCTCTGTTCGCACAACAGCCTTCTTTTCTAAGTATAGGTTTTGCATGAGCTAAATTAAGTGTTCTGGAATTCCCATTCTTCTCAATGTTAGGCATAATTTATTATGATCTGCACAATTTGTTATGATCCTTTATCCAATAAAGCACAAATAAGATATTCTTCTGGTATTATTTGCTTTTATCCAGGATCTGTCTGATAATAGCAACAATATCCCTTGTGCCACACCCTTGTCTAAACCCACTTAAATATCTGGCAATTCTTTATGTATGGTTCTACTTATTTTTAAGTAATCCTCCACAGTATTTTGCTTGACTGTGATATTAATTAATTAATTATTAATGATGTCGTTTGTTAATTTCTACATTATATCACCTTCCTTGGCTATGGGATAAATATGTATCTCTTCCAGTTGACCGAAGAGTTGTCCTTCAAATTGCCTGGCATTGACTTATGAGCACATCCAGGGCTTCATTAGTTATTTGAAACATATCAGTTGGTATCCCATCAATTCCTGGGGCTTTATTTTTTGCCAGTGCCTTCAGCTTCAACTTGTCTCTTATTAAGATTGGCTCTTGTTCATATAGTACTTTCTGAAACTTTTCAGTGTCAGCCAATTCTTTTTGGTACAGTGACTCTACGTATTCCCTCATCCTTTTTTGATGCTTCCCAGATCATTCAACATATCGCCCATAACATCTTCAGTATTGTGACCCAAAGTTTAAATTTAGGTTTTTTTTAGTTTTCTCAGCTTGAGAACTCTCTTATCTGAGTGATTTATTCCCTTTTTATTTTCCAATTCCAGCTCTCTGCACAAATTATGTTACATTCATACAATGGAATACTACACAGCATGCAGGAGCAATGATTTTGTAAATTATTGCCTAACTTGAGAGGGACTGGAGAGCATTATGCTGAATGAACTAACTCAATCCCACAAGGACAAATATTGTATAAAACTATTATTGTAGAATAAGCAGGATAAAGGGGGGTAGGGTGGAAGCAGAGGGATGAGGATGTGCAGTGAGGGGAAGATAATCATGGGATTTTACAATTTAATGGGTGGGGGATAAGGAAAATGGGAAGAATCTGTTCTAAAAAAACAATGTATTCAAATACTGTAAATCAACTTGTATAAAAAATAAAAATCTGTTCAGTTTTTCTACTCTTTAGCATCTTTTCCCTTTGTTTGGCTTCTTGACAATATAGTATAATTTTCAGTCTCTTCTGATATACATTTTCACTTTTTCCTTTCTCCTCTGTCTTTGTAATGATTTTTTCACTCTTATTGGTTGGTATCCTTGACGTCATCTCACAGCTCATCAAACCTATTCTTAAGATGATTTTTAAATACAGGTAAAATAGACTCAAGATCATATTTTTATTCTCATGGACTTGTTTTCATTTTCTTTGGCCTTAGTTTGAACTTGCCATGAGTAACAAATCATCTGTTGCACTATCTACCCAGCAGTGGTTTTAACTACTGATATCAAGATTCCCCAATGGAATCTTGTGGACTACATCCACGAATGTAGTCAATCTGGTTTCTATATATTCCACCAGGTGAAACCCATGTTTAAAGTTGCCATTTGTGTTTTTAAAAAATATATATTTGTAATGAATAAATAACTGAACATACAAAATTTGATCATTCTCATTCTAGCCTTATTTGTGTTACCAAGTCCATACTTTCTGACTACTATTCTTTCTTCATAATTCCCCACTTTTGCATTCCGGTCACCAATTATTAATGCACCTCAATTGCATGTTTGGTCATTTCAGACTGTAGGATTTGGTAAAAATTTTCTATTTCCTCCTTTTTGGCTTTAGATGTAGTAATATATATTTGAATAATAGTCATATTAACAAGTCTTTCTTGTAGGGATAGAGATAATATCCT